CTTGTAACCAAACAGTGATCATTCACGGATCACAAACGAAACCACTCTTGGTTCAACGGGTTAGCTCGTAACCAAACGGTGATCCTACACAGATCACATAACTAACTTAACTCATCATCGAACCGCGGTTGTTATTAAGCACATCATTATTATTATTACTGTTGACCCATAGTGTGACCGATATGAACTGGACCGTTATCCGCAGGCATGGCTATCGATAGATTTAACACACACTCTGCAGAGGTTGGCACACTGTACCCATACTACGGAACCCATGGCCTCTCGCTCCCATTCGGGTGGACCAACGGCGTTCTGATAAAACCGCCCTACTGGCATGACACCCTCCCGGCCACTCCGACTAACTCCCCACTAGGCTAAGTCATGGGTGGCCCCGTGTCTACCCCAGACACCAACGGCCCCCGTCGTGGCAAAACGGCCACATCGTGGCAAAACGGTCCCAAACATGGACATGTGCACATAACCAAACTCGGGCTCACAAGGCTTATGTCTGCCTACCTGATCAGGGTAGTGTGTGCCCATAACCTTCCCTCGTTGGAGGCACCGGTGAGAGGCATGACAATAGACCCAATTAGGTCCTTCCCATAAAGGCAAGCGTTGTTGCACTGGTCAGATTGATATGGTGGCACCATGACTCGCCAACAGTTGTTCAAGTTCAGTTTAGTCCGGTTAAACTTGAATGCAAATATGCTGAGCCATGATAAAATAACATAATGCAATTACAATGCATAAGCATGATATCAACATAAGCATGGGATGCAACATAACTATCAACCATATCAGCAATGAATCATATCCAACTGAGCATGGCATAATGATGTGCATGAATATCACAAGTACAGCACTACTCATAGAAACCTAGCATGACCACTAGCATCAACAATAAATATCATGCAAGACATATCAACAATGCTACCATGCAAGCATTTAACCAACTTGTCGGAGTAATGGACCACGGGTAGGCTAAGCCGAGTCCCTGAGCCTTTCAAGGCTTTGGGCCAGCTGCGCCCCACGAGACTCCAGAATGAAGCGCCGCCTTCTGGTGGTCGGCTGGCTCAACGGCCGGCTGCCAGAAGACGGCCGGGCACCAGCAAACGGCACCAAGTCGGGCCAGCTCCTAGCAGGCGGCCCCCGGCGCCCTCAGAGTCTGTGCCCCTCATCAAGAGGACGAGACAGGCACTACAAGAAATATGTCAACTTGTGACCTTGACTATTGGTCACTGAAAGGTCATTATTTTTCATTTGCGACCTTTTTGTGACCAAAAACAGAAGGTCAAAAGCTGGCAGTCGTAAACTGAAATTAACGACCTTCTCTGTGAGAAGCTCGTAAACGTTGACGACCAAAATAGAAGGTCGTTGAACCCATGACCTTTTGTTTTGGTCACTGGCTGTCTGCCCAGGCCACGTCGGATCTGATGTGGCAATCTGACGTGGCAAAACTATGACCAATTGAAAAGGTCACTGACAAGATTCAGCCCGGTCCGATTAGGTGTTTTACATGGGCCGAGCCCAACAATTCAGCCCATTTAGTATATTTATTTCTGTTAATTTTTGTCAGCTGCATGGGCCAAGCCCTACTATTCAGCCCATCAACTTCTATGCACGTTTAGCCTTTCAAGAATACAGGTACTATTTTGTGCAGCCCATTTTCTGGTTTACATTCGCCTTTTTATACAGTCAAATAATAATTCAATCTTGGACTTGGTCCAGTACACTTTTCAGCCCATTCACATATATGCGGCCCATATTCATACAAATGATTCTCCTTTTCAATAAATTTTGCAAATAATTTCATAATTCATCACTAAATATGTTTACATCAGAAGCCATAAAGCCCTACAAAATAGTATCACATGTTCCTATACAAAACTATCAAATCATACGTGCAACAAAACAGAATACAAAAAATTTAGTTAAACAAAAGTAAATTTCTTCCTCTTCCATCTTCCAGAACACAACACCTGGCATTGAAAGGATCGACCATTAGAAGCATATAGAATACAAGGGAAATAATCAAAATAAAGAAATGAAAGGCACACACTATGAAAATTACGACAACATCAATATTTTTTATATTACCATACAAACAGAAATGTAATCTGATTGCTTAGGACATATGGCATTATCAACAAGACAGCAAAATTTACAGTGCCAGCTCAGGAAGAAGGCAAAGCATATTTTACATTGCGAGCTCAGGATGCCACCATGCACACTCCAATAAAAACTAAACGGAGGGCAAGAGAGCAGGACGCAACTCTACCTGGAAATGCTGCTAGCCAGCGACAAAAGTAAGTTGGTCGGAGCCAAAGAGGGGTCTGTCAAAGGAGCCAAGCATGCCGGCGAGGATGAGGTAACCGGTGATCGTCTCCTGGTTCTCCTTGATCTTGCCCTCGAAGTTCTTCCGCTCCAGGTTGTCCTGCTGCAGCTCGTCCTACACCGCCTAGAAACAAACAATTCAGATGAACAATTGCATAGATCATACCTTGTTTGCTTATTTAGACTAGACAATCCTACTATTTGTGAATATAGCAAATGTAAAAACAATGTAAATGGTAAACAACACTTGAGAATATATCAATAGATTAAGAGCATATTGTTTAGCATCACACAGATAGTAGCACAATGCTACATGCAACTGTTAGGATAAAGTAGAGCTTCTACATTACATAATCAGATACGAAAGACCAAGCAGACTGTTCCGAAAAAGACAAGTTACAGAGCAATCATGTATATACCATTCTACTAGTAGCAAGGGCATAAAGATAATCACTTAACAAGCAGTACCAACATGGGTAAATCACATAAAGAAGTGCAATCTAATATCACAGCTACCAAAACACCATATCAAGATTCCGTACAGATTGAAAAAGAGCATGTGCTGCAGGACATATAAATATACCATGAGCATTATTTCTACAAGTAAAATGCCTATAAATATTACAAACATGCCACTGGGTACTAATCAGCCAGAGTAGTGTCATGGCTACCCGAGTAATCACCTAAACACAACCTCGAAGAGGATGGCCAACGCTGCCTACACTAGAGTCACCATGTTGCCTATAATTCCATCAAGACAAATACAATCAGTATCAGGATCAGAGGTTCAGAGCAAGAATAGTGAAGGCGTTTGTGCTGTAAACGACAAGGAGATGATGCTAACTCTAACGAAGTAGGCATAGAGTAACAAAACAACTCCATAACACTTAAGCTGCTGCTACCTGCATACATTAAATGGAACCAGAAGTATGTCGACTACTAGACAGCCATGAATGATGCCCAGGAGTATTGATTTGGAAACATCAATCCTCCAATACTGATAATTTTTGGAGTATTAATTCGAAGATGACCTATACTATAGTACAGTGCAGTGTATAAGAAGGAATGAATCCATTTTCACAATCTGAGGAAGAATAAGAAGGAACCAAGCATATGAAAGAGTATTCAGTTTACTCATGTTGCTGCTACAGTACAGTACTGCTGCTATAGTACAATGCTCCAGGAATAATATGAAATGTGGACAAATCGGAATAATCTGGTCTAATGTAGACAAATGGGAACATCACTGATCCTCACTGTCAAACTACTCCACCAAAGACAAGTACTGGCATGCTTTGTTGTAACTAGATTCACTATTTAGTCACAGGAAATACAACATAGTTCAAGAAATACTCCACCAAAGACAAATCATACACTAAACTACTGCAAGCAACTACTACTACAACAACTACTGCAAGAGAGAAGAGATAAGAAGAGGGAACTACTGCTTGCAAGTCCCAACTTAACAGCAGTAATCATCAATTTAGTTAATCGAAGATGCTACTCTAACTACTCCATTTTGCAAGATTCTACTATAACTATCAGTACTGGAGTAATTGAATGTGTTGCAAGATGCTACTCTAACCAGATGCTCCAAGTTGATACTCCAAGATACTGCAAGCAAGTTCATACTCCCACAAGAAGAGAGTTCAGACAAGAATCTGTTCCACACACACTGTTCATTCAAGCAAGCTGACCTTAGGTCTTTCCATGGAGGAGAGAGCATAGACTCGATCACCGGCCTTGTGCCAAATCCCCCACGCCTTCCTGTGGGGCCTTCACAACAATGACCTGCAAGCAGAACACACCAAAAACGATGTCACACACGCATGCTACTAATGCACAGTCCTGTAGTTGTTTGGTTATTATTTTAGATTAATAGGAATAATTCAATATGTATTATCTGTTTAAAAAATGAAGTTAATAAGTTATGCTAGATGTTGTTTCAAAGAAATATATTAGAATGTTAAATTTAACATGCTAGAAAATTAAAGGAGAGTGCCCCACACAGAGTGTAAGTAAGACTAGCATATAGTAGTTTGTCTTGTAGAAAATGCTTCTAATCTAAGTAAGCATGACAGTGTACGCGTTAGAGCTTTGTCATCCATGCAAATATTTTATGAGGAGAACTAGTTACATGTATGTGACCATTAGAATGCATAGGTGTGTAGGGGGAGCTCCCCCGGCATCGCTGCTATCATGATTGACCAATGAAACAAAAGGTTACAGGGAGCTTTTAAGTAAAATCTGTTTATGCACACAGCATATCTAAAAATGTGAGCTCAATATGCTTTCTACTAGTCTCCAGTGAGCTGATCCTGCTAATCTATCTACGCAATGGTGGTGAGAGATGGGGATGCCAGTAGAAGGAACTAGCAAACATACCACATGCAGGGCCAGGCGAGAAGACAAGTGCCAAGACGGATAGCATTGACAACAGATACACTTCAATAGGCATGCAACACAAGACGGATATCTGCATGTCTTTCTTCAGAAGAGGCATTGTAACTAGACTATTGATTACTACGTAACCCAAAACTAAATCATGAAACAAATCTTACCATCCATGCACTGTAGGCAGGATCTTTCTCAGGCAGGTACGATGGTTGACTCTCTTTCAGCTGGATTTTCTTAGCCAACTGTCTTGTCGATGAAGAACCACTTCTTCAGCGTTTTCTTGTCACTGCAGGTGTGGAGGAAGTTCATCAACAGAAGAGTACATGAGAAGAAGAATTAGATGCGTCAGGAAGAAGAATCGCGTGTTCACATAGGTAGTTGCAATGCCCAGGTTCATCTTGTTGGCGTGGAACTGGCCTGCTCACGGCCACGTGACGCTTGCACTCGTGCACGTAGCAGGGGCGCCAGACCAGGAAGCGCACGTACCTGGAAGAAGATGTCGGTGGGGAAGTGCAGGGACTTGTCAGTGTAGTAGGCTATCTTGTCGAGCATCGTGTTGGGCACGTGGTGCTTGGTCAGATCGATCGACATGTCCATGGTGTACGTCTCCCATGGCCGCGGTAGCGAAACCAACTAATGAATCACACACAGCAGCGGCACAACAAGTAAATAAAATAACAGCGCACATCGACTGCATGCGCGCTCTGATCTAGCGACCCGTCGCCGGCGATGGAACCGAAACGGGAAAAGCAGAGCAGAGGAAGAAAGGGAAGAGCATACCCTGAAGCAAGACCACTTCCACTAGGTGCCGTCCTCACGCACCAGCTTCTTCGACTGCTCGATCCCCTAGTAGCTGCTGATCGCCACCTTCTTCTTCTAACCATCGCCCTTGGCCGCCTCCGCCTTGACCACCTTAGCCGCCTCGTCCTTGACCTGCGAGGCCGCAGAAGTGGACATCATCCGCACCCACGTGCCCTTGCCGCCGGCGAGGAAGGTCCTGGCCCCTGGGGACATCGGGGTGGTGGAGAAGAGGCGGCTAGCGCCAGCGCCGGCGCGGCGGAGGAGGACTGATCCGGCCATCCGAGAGCTCATCTGGCCGCCGAGAAACGCCTCCATGAATCACAATCCGGGATGAGTCGTCTGATGTTGACGCACGCTTGCCCTTGTTGTTGTGGTGGGTGGGTGGG